CCGCTCAGGTGGAAGGTGGCCGCCTCCTTGGTGTCCTCCTTCTTGAAGGGGTGCTCCCAGGCGCCCTTGAAGTAGATCGCATTGACCAGCACCATGCGCGTGGTGGGCGGGAGGCTGTCGATCAGCTGGCGGATCAGCCCGCGGGTCGTCTTCTCCACGTCCTCGTTGATGATCTTCACGGCGGTGTTGCCGCCGTCCTCGGTGAAGTTCAGCGTCTTGGCGATGGCCGACAGCTGCGTGGTGAGGCTGTTCACGTACTCGGCGTGCAGGGGAAAGCTGGGAAAGGGAGAGAGAAGGTTTAGGACAATCATAAACAAACATTGTGATACTTACTCGACGCTGGAGTAGAGAAAGTTGCCAATGGCCAGCGTCTTGTCGTTCTTCTCCAGCATCTGGCGGTTGGTGGAGGTGAAGGCGGTCACCAGCTGCTTGCTCGCCTCGGAGGAGAGTGCACNCAATCATAAACAAACATTGTGATACTTACTCGACGCTGGAGTAGAGAAAGTTGCCAATGGCCAGCGTCTTGTCGTTCTTCTCCAGCATCTGGCGGTTGGTGGAGGTGAAGGCGGTCACCAGCTGCTTGCTCGCCTCGGAGGAGAGGGCACTGAGCTGCTTGTCGAAGAGCGTCTTCAGCAGCTGCAGCTGGCTGTTGCCGGCGCTGCCCACCACCAGCATGATCAGCGCAGAGACCAGCGAGTAGGGCGAGATGACCAGATTCTGCTCCGGTTTGTACAGCTGCTGCATCAGACTGAGGCAGAAGTCCGCCGTCTGCGGGGTGCTGCTACTGGTTCCGTCCATGGTTTGAGGTTTGGTGTGTTTCGACAGAGAGATTTGCAAAGTTATGAAGTTCAATTAGGCTGGTTCTCTTGTAACTTGAGGTTTTTAGCGTGGTCGTCGTCGTCGACTCGTCGTTTGCTTTCCGATTCGTTGCCTCTTTGCGATTGTGCGACGCAGCAGCTTACACTGCCAGTTTTATTACTTTCTGCTGATGCTGCTGCTGCTGGTGGTGATGAGTCAGTCTTGTGCACGCTGCTTCTGGTAAATGGTCTGGAAAATGATGGGAGCTCGCAAAAGTTCGAAGCAAGAGAAGAGCAAGAGCAAGTGAAGCGCAGCCCGTACGGTAACTGTGGTGAGTGTTTCACTGGCGACACAGAAGAAGACTGTGGAATTTCAATTGGTGATGATGATCTATTGGCGGATTGAGTGCTGGGGGCAACCACGGAGATGACAAAAGAATGG